CCCCTGGCATTTACCTCACTGCAAAGTGATCCTCCTGCAAACCTGAGGTGGAGCTATATGGAACATAAGCAGTGTCATACTAAAAGAACCACTCTTGTTCCTGTGCTGACCTTACTGGAACTGCTGGGTCACACAGGGCAAAAATCTGTATCTGAGGCAGAACGTTCACAAGCAGCTAAAGATACTGTGAGTTGTATATGTTTACCTTCCTTGCTGGAAACTGTCTGTGCAAAACAAGTTCCTGAAGAAGAAGAGGGTCTGACAGTGGTTTCAGCATTGAAAGACTCTTTTGTAGGAAAAGACCTTTTTCCAGGCTGTGGAGGACACCCTTCTGACTTCATCTGCACTGCAAAATTCTTTTTAGGGCTACTAAAACAAACAAACAAACAAAACACCAACAAATACCCCTCCAACTTTAATGAATCAATATCTTTTTTGGGAGCGTTTTATTAAACAACACGGATCTATTTAATAGCTTTCTTAGTACTGATGTTTCAGAGGTACTTCACTCTACACCCCCTGCATTTCTGTCACAGAAGGATCTGTTTAGCTCAACAGAATGGTTTTGGTTGTATTTTCTCAAGGAAACAGACCTAAGAGTTACACAGAGAAAGGAAACCTGTGCACTAATTCCAGTGTGCATGAAAAGGAACACAGATTATTTTCCAAAACCCAGACATACCTTTGTGGCACAACCGTTTGAGTGAAGTGTTTATTTCTTTCACAGTTCTGAAGTCGTGTTCTTAATTCATTCATTTCTGCATCTTTGAACTGCAACTCCGATTGCAGTGACAGCAACTGAAAGAATTAATGAGATCGTTTTACTGTTACAGAACAAGTAAGTTGTTCCAACTGCAAAGCAATGCAAATTTCTGTAAGATTTCAAGGTTGCAGGCTACTTACTGCGATCTCTGTACAAGTTCTCCATTTTTATGCTAATCCAATTAATACTATCTTAGAACCAAGTGCCCAGGGTCAGGCAAGAAGCAATGACTTGGCAAGACAGACCAAGTGCCACAAGAGCGTGAGCACAGCGAGGCCATTAACAGCACAAAAGCAGCCACTGTCCTCTTCAGGGCTCTCACAAAGATGACTGCAACAGGAACAGCAATCTGATCAGAGTCACACAGCACGTTCTGTCTCATTTTCCATTTCACAATTGTATGTAATGTACAATTCTATTTCCAATTGTAATGTTCGGGGGACTGCTAAAGAAAGCAAGCAAACAAAAACCTGCCATCTTAGCCTCGCTCTTATTTTGGCAGAAGAAGTGCCCTGTCAGGTTCTTGTAAAGGTTTTCTTCTGCATAACAAAACAAAGGCACACTCAGAAGCGTCACACAGATATTTCTTCTTTGACTGAACAGACCAAGGCAGCACTGAAGTCACACTGTGAGCTTCTTTGTGTGTGTGGTGTGGAGGTGACCGACAGAGCTACAAACCTTTTTGGAGAACTCTCTCTCTTTTTCACCAAGGGCCTGAGATTGTTGCTGTTCCAACAGCACATACGATCTTTTCTGCTCCTCCATCGTGTGCTCCATCTGCTGCATTGAGTCACGCAACATTCTGATTTCCCCATTTTTACTAAGAATTTCATCCTGCATTTCTTTCAGCTGCGAAGAGAAGAACTCCATTAAGCAGTGCATTCAGCCAGAAGTACCCGTATCGCTCTCTACAAGGTCAAAGGTTGTGTGTGTTGCTATAGCCCACTTTAGAAATCCTGCAGTGTGGCTTCTATTTTTTTTTCCTGATTAAATCAGGCTCTGTGACTTTCTCTAATAGAATTATAGTGTTTTGCTGTCTGTCAGAGATTGTCAGGGCTTTTCTGCACTGCTGTCACCCCCTTCTTTCAGGGAAACAGTTTCCAACTGAAGGAGGGGAGGTTTAGATTGGACATAAGGAAGAAATTATTACAGTGAGGATCACGAGGCAGTGGCACAGGTTGCTCAGAGAGGTGGTGATGCCCCATCTTTGCAGACACCCAGCTTAGGCTGGGAGGCTCTGAGCACAGATAGAGCTGTGGGCGCCCCTGTGCACTGCAGAGGGCTGGACCTGATGGCCTTTAAGGCCACGATTCTACAACTGTGTGGTGTAAGCGGTGCCTTTCCATACGGCACAGTAACACCGTCCCATTAAACGCACTTTTTCAAATCGTGAAGGGACACAGAGCAGCCACACAGGACAGAGGGGAGCGGGTTTGACAGGAAAGACAAAAACTGACAGATCAGCATTTGCTTATCCAAAATGCCCAGGGCACAAAACACCGCTCCCTTCGGACGCCCCCGGAGCCGTTTCCATTAGGACTCTTTGCATACACCGCACGCTCGGATTCCGAACCACCCGGATCAGAAGCAGGACCGGATCCCCGCCCCCGGGCTCCACAGAGGAGCGGGGCGGCGCTGACCTTCCGCCGGGCGTCCTCGTGCTGTGCCTGCAGCACCTGCAGCTGGAACGCCCCTCGCAGCTGAGCGCCGTCCGCACCGCCGCCCGCTGCGGAGAGAGAACGGGAGAGCTGTGGTCTCGCTATCGCGATAATCGTGCCGCCCCCCCCACCGCCCCGCGCTGACCTCCGGGCTCCGCGGCGCTGCTCCAGGCGCCGTGCGGGCGGCTCGCCGGGGCCGGGTCGCGTAAGGCGGCGTCCTGCGTCAGCGCCTGCGAAGCGATCGTGTCGATCTCCTCCAGGTCGTCCGCCGTGAAGTCGTCGTTGTCCCCGAAGGGGTCTTCTTCCGCCGCCGCTCCGACCCCCGCCGGCCCCTTGGGGCGTTTGCTGGGCGGGAAGCCGTTCCCCAGCGCGGCGGCGGGAGCGGTGCCCCGCGGCCAGCCCGCCCCGCACAGCGCGGGACCGCTCCGTTTCCGCGGCCCGAGCGGCGGCTGGGCGGCCATGCCGAGAGCCGCTCGGCTCCGCGCCGCCCCTCGGCCCCGTCGGCCGGAAGCCCGCGCGCCGAGCAGCGGCCAATCGGCGGAGGGCTGCCCTCCTCCCCGGCCAATGGGCGGCCGCGCCTACGGCGGCCCCCGAGGGTCAATCCCGACGCCGGCGCAAAACCGCCGGCTGCAAGCGCTCCCGCCATTGGTCGCCGCGACTCGCGCTGTGAGCGGCTCGCTGATTGGATGGGCAGACGTGAGAGCGGCGGCCGGGGGCGGTGGCAGCGCTGCTCTCCTCGGGGGGGGGCGGGAGGGGAGCGGTGACGTCACGCTGACGCCAGGTGACGTCATAGCGCGCCATGGCCCGCTGGGACGAGCTGCGGCGTGTTCTCTGTGCAAGAAGAGTCTATATTTGGTAGTCCTAAAGCACTTGTTCCTGTTGTTTGGTTCCTCGACTCTCTGCTGCAGGAATCTTGCAGAAAAGTGCATTGAAACGTAGAACGCACGCCTGGATCGCCCAGGTGGAGCCTCTGAGCCTGGAGAAGTGGAGTTTGTGTTCCGATTCAGTAAAACTGAAGTAGTTGGATGGATGACTGCTACGTCCAACTACCAGCACAGTTAATTTTCGTGCTTCTTTTCCAAATCGAGACTGAAATGCAAACTGCACTGCAGTGTCCTGACGCAGGGCTGCTGCTTGATTAGAAGAGGTGTCTGGAGCTGACAGTTGTGATGGAAGTAAAAGGAAGTGTGGAAATCCGCTCAATTTCTTGAAAAGAGGTGAAATACAAATCTTCCTCTTCTGTTGGATAAAAGTCTCCTTGGTCAGGCTGGAAAATGGCTCTGCAGTGACTCATGTTTAATGAGCAAACTGTCTGTCCTGCTATTGCAGGTGATGGCGGCGTTCCCCTGCGAGCTCCTCCAATGTGGGATGAGATGTGATCTCCTATGGGCTGTTCTCCTGCACTGCTCTTCTCTGGCTGGGTGGGTTTGGATTTCAAATTACAGCCTCAGTGACTTCTGACCCCTAGGTTAGAGGGACAGGAGTTTTGGAGGCTGGGGGAAACTTGCTGTAAATAACTTAAAGCAGCAGTAAAAGTAGATCTAACTTTTTTCAGAGGCATCCCATTAACTCCCATGGCTTTTGCAGCTTGCTGCCAGAGCTGAGCTGTTGTCCTCAAACTGACAAGCAAGAAGGAGTTGAGAAGGATTCAGGCGTGCAGTGTGTGTGTGTGTGTGTGTGTGTGTGTGTGTGTACGCCAGGGTGAGTTTAAGACAAAGGTGGTAAAAAGAGAGTATATATTTAAATGAGACAAGGAAGAAAAAAAAAAAAGGATGGGGATGGAATGAACTTTCCTAAAACCTTGTCGTTCAGAATGCGTGGTTCCAGCTGCAGGCAGCGCTGGGGAGCAGATCCTGACCTTCATTGCTCTTCTTGGGAAAAAGCAGTTGGAGGAATTGCTTGCAGATGGCATTTTAAGGATAACAAAAGCGGTGACGTTGAGGCATTGGACTACGGAGGAACCTTTTGGTAGGCTTAGGAAATCTTGGCTACATCTGCAGCCCCTTCCTAGAAGCTTAGAAGCTTAACTCTCGCACGTTTCCAAGCATGCCGACCACTTGCAGGTAAGCAGACTTGGAAAGAAAACAAACAAGCGTAACGTAATTTCCCCCCTTTCCCCACATCGGCCGTTTTCTTGCATCGCCCTTACTGATGACTTCCGTTGTGCTTCAGTGAAGAAGCATTTCGGCTGGAGATTCACAGACCACGTCCGTGTTTTGAGACGTAAGAAGGACGAGATCCCACACGAGAGGCAGGCGGCGGGGCGGAGCGGTGCCGGAGCCGGGAGATCCACGCGGCGGCGCGCCTCGCCCGCTCCCGCCCTTCCCGCTCCGACCAATCGGCGGCCGGGCCCCGCCCCTCCGCCAGCAAAACAAACACGGCCCGTCTCCGCGGCCGCCCAATGGCCGCGCGCGGCCGCCCGTAACCCCCGCCCCGCGCCCGCCGCGGCCAATGGGGACCGGGCTCGGCGGCGGCGGAGGGGCGCGGGGCGGGCCGCGTCGTTGTGACGCGCTGCTGCGCGACGCCGCCATTGGCCGGAGCGGCGGGCCGGGCGGAGCGGCGCGGCGGCGCTAGCGGCGGGCCGGGGCCGGAGCGGCGGCGAGCGGCGGCCGAGCGGCCATGAGAACCGAGACCTCCACGGCTGCGGCGTTCGTCACCCGCCTCCTGCGGGCCGCCGGCGGTATCGGCGAGGAGCAGCTGCGGTGCTTCCGGGAGTGCCTGCAGGAGGCGCTGCGCGGTGAGCGGCGGCCCGGCCCGCTCCGTGTCCGCGGCGCGGCGGCGGTGCTAACGCTGCTCTTTGTTCCCTCCCGCAGAGCACTACAAACACCACTGGTTCCCCACGGCGCCGACCAAGGGCTCCGGGTACCGGTGCATCAGGATCAACCATCAGATGGACCCGCTGATCGGCAAGGCGGCGGCGATGATCGGACTGAGCCACGAGAGACTCTTCCAGCTCTTGCCCAGCGAATTGACTCTTTGGGTCGACCCTTTCGAGGTGTCCTATCGGATAGGCGAGGACGGCTCTATCTGCGTCCTCTACGAAAGCCCGCAGCCCGGGGCGAAGGCGAGCAAAGCCCTGGAGAGCAGGAGCAGCTGTAAGAAGTGGAGAACCGGCCGGTCCAGCCCGTCCGAGAGCTACAACATGATGACAGTTTCTAGTTAGAAGTTACTGTTCCTTGTACAGTTATGTATGTATCCCAGTTCTGTGATAAACTTAATTGTAACTGAGCTCTTGACTCTTTTTTATTTTATTGGTAGCAGCGGTAGCTTTTCACCCTGTATCATTGGAGTTGTAATCGTACTGCCAATCCTGTGTGGCCAAGGGCTAACGTGTAAAGCAGTTCTTCAATCTGCCTGTTACTCTGGATCATGTACTGTAAATGCACTGTACAGCCGGTTGATTGTTTTACACATTTATATTTTCGAGGAAATTCTGGTATTTGTAATAAAAAGCGACGTTGTAGCACTTCATGGTGGATTTTAGTCAAGATTAACACTTTGTTTGGAAAAAAAAAAAAAAAAACAGAAAAACAAACTCAATTTGAAAGCAATAACACAAAGGGGATTACAGCAGAAGCAGCAAGCTGCACATCGATCTCCACTGACTTGTCTGCACAGACTTTTCTCAGGGTCATTCAAGTTTGGCTGCAGGGCACAAATCACAGAAGTATTTTTTACCTTTTTCAAAGCATGTGTTTATTTGGGAGCCGGGTTTCATCGTGCCCCGACGTTCTGACAGAAGGGGTTGGGGAATTTGTCTATCTTATTTCTAGTTAGCAAAGTAGAATAATAAAGACTTGCTCAAAGTGCTTTCGACTTGTTTTTTATTGTCTGGTCTCTGTTCTGTCATTTTTCTTGTTTTCCTTTTGGGACACTGCTCTCAAAGCTTTCCATAGCTCTTTATGTCATTGCAGGTACCGCACCTTTAGCAGGGTGAAGCTCTGCATATTCACCTTTATTTCAGCTCGCTACAACATGTTTAGCACTGGTAAAGCTTGCTTAGCAGTGTTCCTGAGCAGGGCTGTGTGGTTCACTGTGTGCTGGATGAAACGGAATGGAAGCAGAAGTATGCTTTAACACTTGATCTGCTGCAGAAGTGTTTTTGGATTCGTTGAGTTTGTGTTTAAAACAGTGACTTAAACCCACGTAGGGAGCTGGAGCGAAAGGCTGTGTGTCATTTGCCTGTCCCTGGTTTGCTGGGAGGTAAGGAACTGCTGTTCCTTACAGCAGCTTGGAATTGTCCATCTGTCAGCTTGGATTTGAAGTTTAGTAAAATCAGAATCAGAAGCAGTGTGTTCACTACAACAACAAAAGTGTGTTTCTGATTTATGCGATGACTTGGTAGTCCAGTGAAGGATCCCATTCTATGGCTGTGCTGTGTCAGAAGCCATGGTTTGTAAGGCAGCAGTGGCAGACTGCACTTCTGGAAGCCTGCTGTCTGAGCTGAGCTGGGTACTTGATGAAAGGGAGCTTTGTCTCATGTTCATCTGTCAGCAAAAACCATCTTGTGCTATGTCAATAACGTGGTAAAGCATACAGAGAGGGGGCAAGTCTGGGCAGCCTGGGAAGGGTAGAATCCCGGGCTGCATAAAGAGGTTTTCTCTTTGCATTAGAGAAAGCTGTGGCTTATTGGTTGCTCTTTGCCTCGATTACTGCTTGCCCCATTGTTTTGGAGGCAGGCTTGGCTGGTAGGCTCTGTTTAATCTGAATAAAATGCATAGTGCCATGTTCTTAGTAAGCAAAACTTCGTAAAAATCAATTTTGTTCCTAGCCTGTCACTCCAGGAAATGAATGTCTGGGTTACTTTTACTAAGAAATGGATGTTCAAGGCCTTGCAGCAAACTGCCTTGAGTAATACCAGATTGAAAAATCATTTCTTGTAACACTGTCTGATTTTCTTACTAAACTTCACCTCTGTTCCTGATTGATTTGCCTGCACTGAATATTTATTTCCTCAGGACCTCTAGGGGTCAAATTTGATGCATTCGTTGCTAATTGAACAGAGTAACTTCAAATCTGGAGCAGAGAGCTGCCCTCTGTGGGTAAGTGCCATTTGGAGGACAATGCTCCGTGCTGCCCACTCCTTTAACAGCAGCTCTTACACAGCAGGAAGTGTTTGAGGCAGTTGTTAGAGGTGAACTGGGAGCTGGGCATGGTTTCTACGTGCTGAATGTGGTTGGGCAGACACAAAGGAGGATATGGTAGCTTTTTCTTTTCTTTCCTGCTGTGTAAGATGAATCCAGCCATGTGCATTCTGTTGCTTTTGTAAGGATTTGTTAATCCTACTATGTTCAGTGGGATATTTCACACACTGTGTGTAGTGTCTTGTCTCTGGTACCCCTGTACTTGAACCTGCTCTGCAGGTTTGGTGCTAATCATTAAAAAGGACATTTTTGTCAGTGTAATTCAAGTTCAGTTGCATAAACTTAATCTGCTCTGTAGCCCATTGGGTGAAGGGGACTGGGAGGTTCAGAGCAATCGCACCAAAGCAAGAGCTGCAAGCAAATACATTGTAAAGAGCTTGTGACATCTAGAAGTAAATTCCACTGCTTTCAAATCACATCAGAGAGCTCCCAACAGCACAAAGAAAGGCTTTTCTGGTGGAATGCAGCTCTTGGTAGAAAGCCAAGGGGGCTGTTTAGATGAAGAAGGTAACCTTAGTGTGTTTGCCTTAGAAAGCAAGGGGTTTGGCTTACTTGTTGCGACAGCACAATACAAAATACTTAACATGGTAACAGTTCTTGCACAAGGCTGACCACATCTGCCCAGATGTGATTTAGAAGAGAAGGTTTTGGGTTCCGTAGGGAGAATTAATGTATGCCAGCCTTCTTGGAGCAGTAGAAGTGTATGGGGAATCATATGTTGCCATGCCTGCTTGTAGGAAGATGAGTTACCTGCTGGGTAAGTAAAGCTAAAGGAAAGAACGTTTACACATGACCAAGCATACATTTGTCTGTTTCTGCAAAAGACTGCCTTGCTGCAAAGATGGATAAATAATCTTTGTCCTTGTGAACTACACAGCAAAGCCCATATCAGACAGAAGGTCCTGTTAGCTGATGTCACCTTGCCACTTGCTTGCTGCACATCACACAGCTGGCTCCCCATCTCAGCGAAGGAACAGAGCGGTGCAGAGCTATGAGCTGGAAGGGCTGAGCAGTAAGGGTGTCTGTTTGCTTTCTGCAAGCTCCTTCATTTTTTCATACGTGCCTGAACGCTGTCCCAAGAACCGAGTGCCGCGGATCCGAACCCACTGCTCCCCCATCCTCTGCCATTCCGTCAGCACTGACCTTACTGCGGTTTTTTCACTTCACTGAGAACAACAGATTAATTCAGACGCAGTGCTGATGTAATCGTTAACTACGACATCTTCTGCTTAACCTCGCTGAATTCACACGACGTGTTCTTTGCTGTGTGTCTTTGGCTTAGAATGCTGTTTGTTAGGTGGAGCACCTTAGAGAGCCTCAGCAGCGTGTCCTGATGTGGTCAGCACAGAACGGCCTTTGGACAGGTTACCTCTTTTGTAGAACACTGCTCACTGCTATTAATGACGTTGCTTTACTTCTAATAAAGATCCTTATCATGAAGTGAATTAGGACTATATTAAACCCATCTAACTCTCCTGCAATTATTAGTTATTATTTTATCTTAGGACACCTACTCATGAGCAATTACCTGGTTATCCCAAAACTCATCAGGAATTGCCGTCAGGGTCCCACTGCTATCCTACATTTTCTTCAGTGTTTGTCTGTTTTTGTTACTATGCTTTTCCTTACAAAATTCTGAACATGATCTCAGTATTACCTGCTTGGAATACTGGAAGCATCTCCTCATCCCCGCAAAGCAGGAATTATCAAATAGAGATAGGCAAGATTTGTTTGCCTTGTTTCAGCAACTTTACTGTCCTTATCTTAGCACTAGAATGATTTTAGTTGATGGCATACATTAAGAGGTCACTGCTTTTTGCACAGCTATTTATTCTTTCTTGTTTTAACCATGGATTTCTCCTGTCATCTGCTGGCTCTCTTCAGGTTTTGTTACTTGAGAATCCACGTCTGCTGGCTTCATGTTTTGCTCCTTCTGTTGGTGTACTTGCTTCTTAAATTATCTTTTCTTGTTTCCAGAACTGTTCTTGATAGTTTTGATGCTGTATCGGACCCACCTATTTTACTTGTGGTCTTGTTGGGGATTTAATTTATCCCAGTAATAACTGCTGCTATTTTGCTTTCTACTCCACAGCTATGACAAGCCTTCACTGAGAAGCAAACTGCCAAAATGAGCTTGTAAATTTGACAGCTTCTTGGGAGAGCAATATTTCATATTCACATTGAGTTTTTAATATATCTGTAGATGTAAGTGTCTTATGACCATACCTGTATCCCCATCTACTTGCAGCTGTGGCTTGGCACTGCGGCTGCCCCTGTTTGTGGTCAGTATGACTGCACAGCTTTCTAAAGGCAACCAGCCCACACTGCTGTGAATTCCAGCTGGCCAGAGAGTGCTGTGGGGAAGCGTGTCATTGAGTCCTCAAGCAGCTGAACTTCACTGCCCACTGCATGCCAGCACGAGTCACTCACTGGACTCTGGGGAAAGGGGACTTGCCTGTTACTGTGCATACCTAATATTCGGTGCATGGAGGGCACGGGTAGAAATGGACTGGGAGAGCACCATCTTGTCCTTTCTGCCCCAAATGGGATGGGCTGATACTGAAACAGAAAGCATTGAGTGCTGCCATGTGGGTTGAAGCATACATGGAAAAACCTTGGTCAATAGTAATTAAACATGTTCAATGGTAATTAAATACGCACTTGAAGTTGGTAGTAGTGCTGAACGTTTGATGGGGAATTAAGTATTTTGATGGTTGGAGGTTTTGCTAAACAAAAATGGTTGAGAATTGAGAGACATACTATTAATGGGACATGATTTTTCCTGCTAGCATTTCTTCTGCACACTTTGGTGTAATCTCTGACAGCCATTGCTCATTGCTCCTTGTAAAGAGAAGGCTGTTGCTTCCATAAGAAGTCTGAAGACACTTTGTGGCATGAAAACTGAAACAAGTCTGGAAACCATTGTTACCTGAAGTTAGAGTTCTTCTTTTGCCTTGTGATCCACAGCAGGCTGTATATCTAATTCAGTTTACTTCCTTACAAGACTTCTTATTTTTCTCTTCCTTTTTAACTTTCTGTGTTTTTCTCCTTTATGTCAAATAATCATTTGGTTTTTTTCCTTCATGAAATTTTCTAACCCTCCATATCAGCTTGAAATCAGAAGAGATTCATGCTGGTTTGTTGGCAGCCACCATGTCTCAATGGGGAACATCAGAGCAGACATAGTAACCAGCACTGGACTGACCAGGGGAGATTAACCCTGAGCTTTGGAGATATTTTTCTGGCCTTTTATTTTCCAGCCAAGCTGGGGAGCGTGATAACATACCTTCATGTTGCGTTTGTGTTCTCTTCTTAATTGCAGTCGTACTGTTAAATGACCTAGAAGTTGCACTTAGAAGCAGAGCGATCCGTTCCATCTGTTCGTTGTCCTTTCACAAGGATCCCTGCCTGAGATCACTGAGCTCTGCATCAGCTTTGTCACATTAGTGAGGAGAAGCAGTCATGGATTTGAAGGAAGCTGCCTGACAGTTTACATAGCTTCTTAGGTAGGGTTCTAGAAAGCCGTACGCACTTGGTTTCTATGTCTGCTGCTAATAAAGTTTTAAGATACTTCATTTTATTCATTCATTCGTTCATTCATCTATTTCTGTATTTAGAGTAGGTACTTCCTTTGGTGATTTAATTCTATATTTCTGAAGAGTAGATTATTTAGTTTGGTTTTTTTGTTGTTGTTGTTTTTTGTTTTTTGTTTTTTTCTAAGATTTGCCCCCCCTGTGAAAATCCTGGGATGAGCCATCCATGGCCATCAGGTTTTTGTAACACAGACCTGGTGTGGTCTGCCGCCTGTAAACGAATTGCTCAACACACCATTCATCACAGCCACGTGTTATTTGCACTGCTTCACACCTAAGCAAATTAAAGGTGGGATTCCCTTCCCAGCAAAGGCACCTAAGCATCATGCCTACGTCTGCAGTGATATTTCCCTGCAGCTCCAGTGAACAAACGGCCCCAAAATACATCCGCTGATCTTTTTCTCCATCTGAAAAGTGTTTGTAACGTAACTGACTCTTGTGTTGAGCTTTGTGCTTAATTTCCCATTGTTTGACTCTCTGCCATAAGTACGTACCTAAGTTGCTAACTGCCTTCAACCTGGCAGACTCGCTTGCATTTCCCCCACCCGAATCCAGGTGCTGTTTTCATGTTGGAATTCACCTGGCCATAAGCAGAATGGGGTTTTGTGGTATTTCCTTTCTGCCTGTGTCACATCAGTGATGCTTTTGCCTTGTCCCACTGACATTTTTTCAGTGACTGCTGAGCGTTTCCCTGCAGTCTGTCATTTGGAAAGGTTCCCTGTTACCCAGAACGTGGCACTTCCCATTTGCAGGCTGCAGTCATTTGTTCTGACAAACACTTTTAACTATTAACTGTTGGAGAAATGCTCCGTTCAGCCTTGGTGCATTGCTGTTGTCTGTATATACTTTTTGGGAGAGGGTCCAAAAGGGTAATTCTGTGATATTTGTATGTAAACCCAAGTGGTGCCTTTGTGGACACCTCCATATAGCAGAATAAAGCAGGATGTGAGCATTCTCTCCCTCATGTAATTACACAGCATTCCCCTTCAGGTAAAAGAAGCCCTGTGTGTTTGTTTTTACTGAAGCATCTATCAGTAATGCTGTGGTGGTGGGCATTGTGCCAGAAATGCTTGCTTTGGGAAAGCAGCACACAGGGTGCCGTTACCAAAGTAAATATTTGTTAGGAGCAAAGATTCTCCTTCCTCATCCGCACTGCTGCTGAAACGTCAGTGAAATCACACAGGTGTTGTATGTTGGCAGAAACACAGCAGTGTGCCTGGAAGGCTGATCGCAAGAAAGGGTGATTCCCATTCTAGCATGCACCGAGATCCGGAGGAGCAGAATGGAGCCTGCGATGCTTGCTGGCACGTAGCTCAGTGCTGCCACACCTGTGGATGTGCTCGCCTTTGGGAAGCGCTGTGAATACCCTGGATGTGAATCAGTTACAGATGTGGGTCTGTCTGTACGAATGGCCGTTGAGCAACCTTTTTTTTTTTTTTTTTTCCCCTTCAGTTTCATCTCTGGTTTTGATTTCTGCATTTTATTGGACTGTTCCATACTGAATTGAGAAGAAAAAGCTTGGTGGAATGACACAGGGCAGCAGTGACCGAGGGAAGGGTGGAAGATGTCACAGAACTCTTCATTCTTATTCAGAGCAAACTATCACTTTGCCATGTACATAGTTTACTGTAATTTATTTGCATTGTTACAACGTGTATGCAGATTCATATATATACATACAGGGAAGATAAGAAAAACCCACACTGCACTGTCCTTGTCCAAACCAATATAGCAAGTGGAGTACTCCAGCAGAAAGGAAAACTGTTACATCTCACTGGGTGTCAGATAAGGCATCTTTGATTATGAATCAAAGACTCATTTCTAAAATCCATTGTGAGGTTGATACAATTCCTGATAAGCCTATATGGATGTTGGGTTTGTTTGTTGGTTTATTTTTCCTTTTTTTTTTCTTTTTTTTCTTTTCTTTCTAATAGCTCTTTGTCACTGTGTTCAATGGTCCCTTGTTTCTAGAAACAATAATGGATAAGCAGAATGACTTGGCCTGCAGACTGATGGTGTCAATCTGGCAAAGGATATTCCACAGGAAGAGCCAAATGGGCAAAATGGATGGGGGAATGAAATCAACTGACTTCTCAAAGCTCAGCAGAGCCCCTGGGAAGCGGTCAGGAATTGGAAGGAGTACGACTCTTTACGTGCATCTTTATAACTGCCATCTGCTTGCTCATTTCTATTGAAGTTTTCAGTTTGCTTCCATCTACTTTTAGCCCCTTCCTGCACATCTTTTAATCTGAGCTCCCCGATCTGAGCACGGCCATTGAAATACCATGGCCTGACGTTTGGAAGCATGAAGTGAGTGCAGAGCCTTCTGTTTCTCATGGGAACTGGAAGCCATCAGTCCTCTGAAAGTCAGATCGGTCCTATTTAAAGGAAGTGTGCAGTTATGAAGCCGAGGGGGGATGTAAATAACATTGTGACCCCTGTTTTGTAAACGTTTTCTCAATCAAGATCGTGAACTAATGACAGTCATTAGAGTCTTAACCAGCAAAATGAAATGATTCATTTGGAAATTCTACTAACTTTGGACCAGCACGCTGAAGGAATGTGCTCCTGCATAGCATCCTGCGGCCCTGGGAAGTGAGCACACCTGTGCATGGGCATGTACCAGTGATAAGGGTGGGCAGCAGCTTCTTGCAAAGGCAGAAGATGGACAGTCTGTAGGAGGAGATGTGTTGGGCTTACATACATGCCCTATCAGGAGTTTACAGCTTGATTTAACTGAGACAGAAAAAGCAGCAAAAGAAACGTGTGTAGTTTCGTGGTGACCTGACATCAGCTTTGTTTGTCACTCTTCTGTGATTGTTTCAGGACACAGATAAAACAGCACTTCTTAATAAAAAGTCCTACCTTTAATGAGATAAGACAGCACAGTCTTCTGTTTTTATTTCTTGTTTCCGCTTTTGAAAATGAATTTAACAGAACAGCAGCAAAGATCTCTATCAAACACTTTTGCTGCTGCTATATTATACAGTGCAGCAGCAAAGAAGAAAGGTGATTTTCCTTTGGGGTGCTGGAGATGTGAGGGGAGGAGTACTGAGCTGTGTGGGCACCTGGCTGTGTCTCCTCAAACCAGCAGGTGAGGCTGTTTCCCATCACATCTACTTCGCAAAGCTGTACAACCCTGGGAAAGCTGCTGGACAAAATATCAGTATTAATGGAGGGGGCTGTTAAAGAAGAGCAGTTTAATATTGCTATTTTTTGTCAGTGTTGCTTTGCTTTTCATTCATCCAAGAAGTAATGTAGGTAAAGCAGATATGTGAACGGCTTTCACTTCCTTTCTGCAGAGGGAGAAAATGGAAATATAGTAAATACAGGAGCTTGCTTTGTTTCTCAGACAGCCACCCTGCAATCAGTAGCCTTGAGGTCTGTCAGTTTCTCTTACTCTGACACTGATGGATTTACTTTGTAAAATGTACTTTTTCCAGATGATCATTTCTAGCTATGGAGCAATTATTACTTGAGTTCTCATTTTGGTCTCTCTACTGTTTTTTGGGTGGGTTTTTTTGGCTTTTTTTTTTTTTTTTTTTTTTTTGGAGGCTTTCACAATTTACTTTCCAGTAACTGTTAATATGTCTTTATCACTGTTCCCCCCGCTTTCACTGTAAGTCCATCTCCAAATACAATTTTGTAAAGGCCTTCTTTGCACTCTTAGTGGCTCATTCATAATTAAGTAGGTTCAATAACAACCAGGAATTAGGATGTCAAGATATATTTTTGGGATCTATACATCCATTCTACATTGCTGTGTACCCCCCAGATGCCAAGCCTTGCACAAGGAGGGGCATCACTGTTCTTGGGCCTATTTCTGTTTAACAAGTGTAGGACTCGCTCAGGAATTCATGCTTGCTCTGACATTTGAAACTTCATTCCTCAAAGATCTTCACCAGAGAGATCTGGAACATCTTTTAATATTTTGGTGTACTTGTTTTCCTGTCGCTGTTAGGAATAGTTCTTCTCTGAGCAATTTGGGTTTCTTTTTCTAGAAATGGAAAATGTGAGGTGCACACTCACTATTCACATAAATACTTTTCTTCCAAATGAAATACTTTCATTAAAAAAAAAAAAAAAAAGAAGCAGTGGATATTGCTTTACACTTTGCCTTTGCCAAGCATTCCATCAGAAGCATCTCAATCTCTCAATAAATACCCACCTCGTTACTCTTTAAAAGAACTGTGGATTGTTACCTTTGAAATAGCTGTTTTAAATCAATAAAGCAATTGAGTAGATTGTGTTATCACTGACATTCTGATAGTGCAGATCATGAACTCAGACAGACCTGGCACTGCAGTAATGGCAGAAAGCTAATACGTTTTTTCTTCAAGGGAAAAGAGAGCATGGTCTGTTGGCTGGAGGGTACGTCTTGTTCTCCTGAGACATTTCTTTTGTTCATGTGCTCTCTGCTGATTTTCAGAGCACACCCAGAAACATCTGTTCCTTCTTTTAGCTTTTCCTTGGGAAGCCCCCCCACCTTCACCTCTCTGCTCATGCAGTGCTGCTGGAAGTTCCATTTCCCATCCAGCTCCCCCTGCTCTGCAGCTGAGCTGCAGCAAAGTGCCTGATGCTGCACTCCCTGCTGATTTTGGTGGTGCTCCCATTCCTGTACCAACAGCTGGAGGGCTTACGTGTCTCTGCAATGCCGTGCTGCTTTGCTGAGCTACTAATGAGTAACTCTTAAAAACAAAATGAAAGAAAAATCCAAGAAAACCTGACCATTAATTGGTAAGTTGCTGCAGCTTGCCATGCAGGCTAAGAGCAATGCAAAGAGGGCGGGAGCTCAGGGAGGTTTGGAAAGAAGAACCTTTTGAGATAGCATAGTGTTTATTAGCTGCTGTGTTGAAACTGCATTGTGTTTCTGTTTACATATCAGAGATAAGAGAAACTGAGGTATAAAGTGCAGAGAAAATGTCTCTTGAAATTACAGCTTCTAGTTATTGATTTCAATCATAGCAGGTCCAGTAACTGTGCTCTTAAAGGGAGTTGGCTTGGGAAGACTGAAAAAAAAGCACTCATCTTACATGCCACTGTTTGAATACAGCAGTTACTCCACTACAGCCAATAAAAACGTGATATCTGTGAACTTGAGGCATTTTATCTGTTCAGGTACTTCACAGCTGCGTCGGGGATCACCACGTTTATCAGTAAGCATACAAATGTAACTGCTCTGCAGTCATGCTGTGCCATCTCCTGATATCGCACAGTTTGCTGTGCTAGTGTATGAGCTGAAACATGACGTGTGACAGGCTTACATCAACTTGTCATCGATGTTCCAGAGACCTTGTGCTCAGTGAGCTCCACATCTTAACTGAGGAGGTCTCAAGGACAGCGTGGCAATTACTGAGCAATAGCAGTCTAGCTAACAACCAGGCAGACGGGGGCACTCCCCTTCCTGTTTAAAGATGGCTGTACAGAGCTCGTGCCAGAAGTTGTCCCCTCCTTTGACCATTAACAGGTCCGAGGGCTGCACACAGATGAGGCTGTGGTATGGACAACCCAAGGGCACGTGTGTTGCAAGAGAGTGTTTGGTCATAGCTGACAGCCTAACAGGAACACAAAGTAGCTGCTGTGAGAAGTGCTGCTCTGTTGCAAAAGCAGCAAAACTATTACTGATGTGACTTCAGGCTGCAAACTCCGCTCGGGTGGTTGGCTTTTCCCTCTGCCTGTAAAGAGCATTTGTCCCAGCTGCTGGTGTGTCACTTAATACCAGGCAAGATTAAAAGCTCCTTATCCCTTCATCTCTCCTGCCTCGCCTGCAGGATCAAATGCTATAAGAACAGACTTTAGGGAGGTGCTTAGCTGGGATTGGTCCTGTTCCATTCCAGTTTAATACCGTACCACAGGGTTTCACCTCATTGCTCTGCTTTAAGGACCTCCTGCAGTTCCTGAGTAGATCTCTTTCTCCATCCCAAGAATTCACAATGATGTGACCCCAGCTAATTTGCCCCCCCAATTGCCCAGCGAGCATTTAGGATTCCTATCCATGGAATCCACGGTGTTTAATGATCTCACTTATGTATAAAAATACACCATCTCGACAATTTATTGGTGTTTTATCTATTATACTGAGAAGTTATTTATGCTCTGAGTCTTCATTTCCTCCCTCCTCAGCCCGAGTAGCAATTAAGCCTCCTAACAGCTATAATGTCTGTTCATTTGCACCTGCTGTTCCTGATGGCTGGGTGTGATTCTGTGAGCTCTTTTGGTTAACAACAAGTATGCTGTTTTACCTTCATTCACCTTAAGCAACCTTTTTCTTTCTGCTGTCTTACTGCCATTGACTTAGCTACTAAAATATTCTATTGTGGTTTGAAGTACCACGTACAATTTCTAAACAAGCTATCAAACAATATATTACAGCCATATTGCATTGTTTTTTCAGTGCCACTGAGTTTGAGAGATGGTGAAATGATCACTGAAGCATGAGGTTCCCTGCATCTCTGCTATATGAAATTACATAGATAAACAGTGGATTTGAGGAAAAAAACCAAGGCATGGAGGTTATGCAATCCTGATAACAGAGAAATGGCAAAGCTTTAAAATCATGATGAGGTATGAGTTACATAAGTATATTCCATTTTTGATGGCTTGAGAGTAGCATAAAAATATTGGATAATCTTAACTGAACATAATCACATCTTTTGAAAACTAAGAACAGTGTGTTAGATTTTAAAAAAGAAAGAATTACTGTTATTGTATCATGACTTCATTTTGGTGTTATCATGTGCATTCAATACTCTTGGCCTCGTTGATTGGAATTTTTGATTTTTAAATGTGATTACAGACACTCCTAGGGCCAGGAAAGGATCTTCTGTTTCTTGTTTATTCTTTTTCATAAACGAAACAGAAGCCTTTCATTTTAGTGACCTGGGAAGCTAAGATGTAATTATTACTGCAAAAATCCCTCTTACTGCCTTACAAGACAAGCTGATTTTATCCCGAGTCTCGGGTAATGCTGTTTTTAGCTCAGACCTGCACATAATGAGTTTTTCTTAGCCATCAGAATATTAACACAAAACTGTGTTCTGCCTGTTTTCTGTTCTTTTGCCTCCAAGTAAACAAGTCCTGTTTTTTCCCCTCCATTTTGTTCTCATTCTTTGGTAGATGCACAAGCTGTAAAAGAGTGCACACGTGACAGTCTGATGTTGATAGTTCTGCAGAATGCCTGAGCTGAGAGCTGCAAGGAGAGGCCTTGCTCAGGTGGCTTTTGGTCGAGAGTGCTCTGTATGCTGGGGGTGACCCAGGAGGGTATGGATGAATAAATTGAAGATGTAAACTGGTCAGTGCCACAGTTGCAAGCAAATTTAAAGAAATTAAAAAATACCATTATGGGCATGAGGAGATGGGTGATAGGCTGGGAAGAAATTTTATAATAGCTGCTGTATTGTTTGCCTTCATTTAAAAAGGAAGGAAGGATATTTTCTCCCACTTGCACATCTGTTTGACTAGCCTTTCATGGCAGTGTTCTATTAGCTTATAGGAAAGTCATATGATCTGTTTATCTTGTAGTAAGGTGCCTTTTATGAGGCACTTTATCTTGCACAGAGGCTATCAGCACACTGAAGCGCAGCGCAACACTGATTTAAAGGCTGTAGATACATGTAGTGCTGTTTGGCCACTTTTGTATTTTATCCCCAACAGTGCTGGGTCCCCCAAAACAGGATTTGTGACACAGAGCTCTACATAACCACCTGGTGCAGTTCTAGGGCCCAGACAAATGGAGATGCATCTTAAACCTGTGCTGCTCTCCCGTGGCCTTCAGATTGCACCCAAAAGAAAATGGCGCAGGGATCAAGTGGGAGCATGGAGCTGTGATTACCTTGCGCATTCCTGAGGTGGTTCTAAAGTAGTTATTTGCATACAGGAATACCACAGAACTCCTGATTATTATCCACTGAGATCCGCAGACAAGTTTGGAAGCTGAGAGCTGTGTGCTGGCAGCCCGCAGGTATTGCATTACAGCAAACCCAGGTGTGCCTGCACACACTGCACTGATACCCCCAGACACATCCAAGCCAGACACATTCCAGTTATGCAATGCTTTCATGCCATTAACTGCACAGATGCTTCAGATATTTCGGTTTGAGCACGTCGTAGATCGTATCTAAAATAAGTAACACTTAAAAAACGATAGCGTAGAGAGAAATAATACCTTGTTGTCTCTTCTGTTTCAGAGTGCATTTTCAGAACAGCCCCGCAGTGCAGCAAGGCAGTAATTCCACACTCGGGATCAGGAGGGCCCTGATGGACACTGACTGCACCAGAGCTCGGCTGTGCTGGCTTCTCCACTGTTATCTTTTACCACTGCACGGTGTTGAGGTGCACTTTCTGGAGGCATGAAAATAGAAAAGGGATCAACTCATAATGATGGAATTTCTTTAAAATTCAGACAGAATACTTCTACGTAAGTCAACATATTGTGAATATTATAGGACGTGGGATCATGACGGTCGGCAAAGACCTCTAAGATCACCACGTCCCACTGCCCACCCCCAAACCTGCCCTCAGTGCCCCAAACCTGCCCTCAGTGCCCCATCCCCGCGGTCCTGGAACACCTCCATGGACGCCGGCTCCCCCGGCTCCCCACAGCTGTGCCGGTGCCCGGCCGCTCTGTGGGAGAAGTTTCTCCCCGCTCCTGCTGAACAGCTCCTGCTGCACCTGTGCTCAGCTCTGCTCCCAGCGCTGCCAATGGCCCGGGCCACCTCCTGCCCGGGGTGCCTTTGTTCGGTCGCTCCTACAAGCGTTCATTCAAACTGCTCGCGCGGCTTTCCTCCCGCCCGATGAATGGCAGGCGGCCGGGAGCGCCCCGCTCAAAGATGGCGGCGAGGCGGGAGCGCTGCCCGGCACAAAGATGGCGGCGAGGCGGGAGCGCTGCCCGGCACAAAGATGGCGGCTTGAGGGGGCGCTGCCCGGCTCGAAGATGGCGGCGGGCGGCGCGAGTGCGGCGGGCTCGGCCCAAGCTCGGCCCCCGGCGGAGGGCGGGACTTCCTGGGGCGGAGCGGCGGCGCGGGGCCGCGATGGTGGCGGCGTGAGCGCGGCGGGCCGGCGACAGGCACCGTCCCCGCGGGGCGCGGCGGGGACCCGGGCCGGGCATGGAAGCGGAGAAGATGGACGAGAACGAATGGAAGTACCACGGGGAGGGCAACCAGAGCCTCGTCGTCTCCCACTGCCAGGTGAGTCGGGTAACGGCCGGCGCCGAGCGGGCGCCCCTCCCCCCGCCGGGCCCCGCGTGAGGGGGCGTCGCCTCGGGCCGGGGGGGGGCGGAGAGCCGCTCCGCCGGGTGCCCGCCGCCGCTCCGTGAGGGGAACCCGGGCGGAGCCGAGCCGCGGCGTCCGCGCCTCTGTGGAGCGGCGGTGTTCGGTACGCGGAGGACGGCGGGAGCGCGCCAGGTGCGAGCCGTGCTGCGAGCCGTGCTGCGCCGCGCCGCGAGAAAATGCTGGAATCTCGTGGCCTTCCCCGGTCCCTCCTTCCCTCCACCCGCACGTAAAATGCCATTAAACGCTCACGCTTCCCGCAAGAACGCCGTGCTCGATTTCTCGTTTCCTGCCTAAATTTGGGCTTTGCTACAAGCGGCTGAAAAATACAGCCGGCGGACAATAAGAGCGGTGGGAAGCCGGCACTTCTCCTTTCAGCCGCAGCCTGGGACTCCGGGACGCGCGAGGAGAGCGGCTGCCGGTGTCCCCGCGCGGCTCCGAGCCGGCAGAGCTCGCCTCTCGCAGCCCCGTCGCACCGGAGCACCGAGGCGGCGCTTGGACGCGGATCGTTGCTTTGTGCCGCTCGCAAACGGGACGTGCTTGCATCAAGGGCTGGTCGGCTGGCGTCATTAAAGCAGGGATTTGGGTTTACTCCTCTTGCCCCGTTCAGTTCGTGACTTTTTGTCTTAAAGGCGGGCGGGAGGGGCAGGGGTTTGGTCGTGGAGGGGAGATGAGGCTGGGAGGTGAGATGGAGAGCAGGGTGGAAGCGTTTGTTGGTTCCGTGTTCTCCCTTCTCGTGCACAGTTGTATTCTGGAATGTGGGAAAGAAAGAAAGCAGTCCCTGCCTGTCTGCGTCTGAACCTCCGAGTTCTTCTGGAACAACCACAGAAGCAAACTAAAACATCCCCCGTCCTTCTGGAGAAAAGGGCTCGAGCTCCTTTGCCCTGTGTGAGTCCAGGGAGCTCTGCTTCAGCTTTGGCACTGTGGCTGCCCCATTGCTGAGGTGCTCAGGGCAGGTTGGATGGGGCCCCGGCAGCCTGAGCTGGTGCCTGATTTAGTGGGTGACAGCCTTGCCTGCAGCAGTGGAGCTGGGACTGGGTAATCTGTCAGGTCCCTCCCAGCCCAACCACTGTGTGATTCTATGAGCTCCTGCCCTCTGGACCATCCTTTGAAGCCCTCAATGTTCCAGTTGGGAGAGAAGGCAGCCTGGATACACGCTCTCATTGCAGGTTGCATGGAGTGCAGGTGAAGGCAAAGAATGAGGCGTGCTCCAGTTCATGCTGCTCTGCTCTTTAAGCCTTTCTTTGTCTCTTTGGCTCTTCCCATTCCCTCCATCTTTAAGACATGAATGTAACACACTGTTATTGTAGTGCCAAAATTAAAAACTTGATCATGGAAGAGTCACATGACCAACCAACAGCTCTGCCAGCAAGGAGCTGATAAGCCCTAGATTCAAGCAACCAGTGAATGGCTTTTTGCAGTGCCTTCGGATGGTGGCATATAGATCAAGTCTGACTGTCAGCCCTACTGGTGCTCTGTGGAACATGCTCTGCTGTTGAAGAAAAATGCTGCAAAGTGGTTTTTTTTTTTTGGTAAAGTAGTTCTACTGATGTGAAATTAATCATATATTAAGCATACAATGTAACAGAACACAATTCTCTGGTAATAAAGCTTTTCCTGTTGGTTTTTGATACAGCTGTGATTAACTTAATCCAAATCGAAAATGAATCGTGGTCAAAAAGCTCTTGCGTAGTGTTTGTAGCCTGATGAAATGTTTCTCTTAGAAAGTGGACCATTCTTCTACATCATCAATTTCAGTGGGAAGCAGCTGGCAACTCTGCTGCTTTCTGAAGGCAGTGCTTGATGTATCGAGCGCAGAGTTCAGATGGGTCTCCCTGAAGCACACAGAAACTGAAAGTTTATTCATTTAGTATCTGTATGATTGTTGTCCATGCGTTGCAGTTCTGAGTATTTGATTGAATCACAGTATCCTCTTCAAATAACTTAACTTGCCACGCTTCCCCATACAGGGGATCCTCTGGTTATTTCTTGTAGCTGCTGTCTCAGGGATGGGTGAAGTGCTGTGGTACAGATCCAGCTTGACCAAACAAAAAGACACTGTTGCATGCAGCCAGACAGTTTAGAAAGGATGCTCCTTGTTCTCTGTGCTCTATGGGAGTGTTGCTTCCTCTGCATCAAACTTGGCCTCTGGTTTAAAGAGGTGGCCATGCTGTTCCTTATCTCCCCATTCTACTCTTGAGCAGTGGAGAGGGACCTGAGGAGCTGCCACAGAAGTTGTTGTCCTGTGAGCTGTTTGTTGGCTCTTTCTGGGGTGGAGATACCTGGTGTTTCAGAAGTGAGCTGGAAATCCTCTTTGTAGTTCTGCATCACAGTCAGTTGTTTGCTCTCACAGGGACACTAACTCTTCATTTCATAAAGACTTCAGGAAACTGTTGTTTCTAGAGTAGCATAAGCAACTGTAGAAGTAATGGCTTCCTTTGAACGCTGAAGCACTGCCTGAAAACCCCTTTGTGAGGTAAAGCACTGTGGAACATCACAGGAACTCCTGTGCCTCACAGCGGATGATTTTATGGCAATCTAACACTTCCTTTTAAAATATGCTTGGGCATGGAGTTTGTATTTCAGGGTGACTACATGGAGGTGCTGCAAGAGAAGGATTCTTCCCAGTGTGTTTTTGATTTGATAAGATAGTCCGGAGGATCGTGACCTGTGTTTGCAAAAGGTTGTGTATCTTCAGGTGCTTTGATTGTTAGTACCCATCTCCTTCTGGTCCTGGAGTGCTGGCAGCTCTAACAGGCAGCCCTGGGCTTTGTAAGGGTTTGTTAGTAAGCACGTAAGCTATCTGCACAGCACATGTGAGCTTACTGAATAGACAGGGGAGATGGCAGATGGAGAAGGTAAATGAAGCAGAGTTGGGAAGGCTGAGGAAGGGAGTCAAGTCAGATAACCAAACCTGCAGAAGATTCCTATAGTTGGTGCTCGTCAAAGCTAAATGATATCTGGCTCTTCTTTGAGATTTTTAAATTATATGATTTTTTTTTAAGCCTTCAAGGTATATGGCTAAGAATGAAGTATCAATACTGCACTGCTGTCAGTGCTTCTGTCACAGATCTCCTCCCCACCCACTGCTCGGCTTCGCAGCTATCCTGCACTTAGGTGCCAGGCTTTGGTGTCCCTGCAGTGTAGCTACCTCTGCTAGCAGCTGCATTACGATGCCTGCACAGTATGTGCAGGAAGACCCTTCCTGCATATGGGAGATTGATTTGGTTTTGCTCCCCATAAAATAAGATTTATTCTGTGTCGGAGGCAATGCTTTGCATCAGAGGCTGCGTAGCTGTCCCTAGAGCTGCTGCTTGGGTATGAAGTAGTCTTCCTGATTTGTCATTGTCGTTTGGTTTGTTTGGTTTGGTTTGTATAAGCAAAAGTCATCTTACTGGAATATTTTGTTGTAATCAACTTATTTGGAGAGAGCCATTAACAAGATTGTGTGTTCAGAGGTTTTGGTTGAAAGAGTGAAAACTACAGGCACAATCAGCAGCTAGCTGCAGCTCTCCTACTTGCTCCTCTGAGATGCTGATCATTAATGGCCATCTCATTGAGTGAATCACCAAAGCTATGTAATATAGCATAGGGAGGAGTTTTGTATCTGGCTCTGTCAGATTTTCTTAGGAAAGCAGAACTTTCATGTCAGTGAGTCGGAACAAGATTCCAGTGTGAAATTCCAGCAGTAAAACTGGCTGATGACTAAACGTGATATACTGCTACGATTTTAATTTCCTACTTGTAATTACTTTTATCTCGTGTATTTGTTGAAAGCGAGTAGAGGAGCTTCTGTTGGAGTCTGCTGAAGCAAGCAGCTCTGTGAAATCCAGTTGGAGAACCACGGATGTGATCAAGGTGTGGCACAAGTGGAGAAGAAAGGAAGAGATGTGCGCCTTGCTGTAAACAGCAATTAAGTTTTCGGGAATAGGAGGCAGTGACTAGCTTAATTGGAATTCAGGATCCATTGTGGAACTGTAGCCTCTCCGAAACCATACATTTCCTTGTGTTAACTTTGTTAGCTAATGTTTAAATAGACATCAATAATCACTGCAAAAAAAAGCAGATACTTTTGTACTTGTGTTTGATCCCTTGGCTAAATAGGTATGCAGCTGTGACTGTCAGTAGTGTAACTGATTGGACCAGCTCTACTGGAGCGCAGCCTACAGAGTGGATGAATCAAAAGTTGGAAGTGCTTCCGATTCTGGGGATTACCTGCAAAGCTTTTTTTTTTTTTTTGTCCTAAAGCAGCCACTTGAGTCAATGTCTGCATAGAATTTTGATGCCGTGTTGCAGTTAAATTTACTTTTTCTTTGGCTTTCCCAGGTTTCTCTGCTGAAGGGATGCTCTGACTGCAGTTCAGTGGTAGTTTTCCTAAAGCAAAAGGGGAGGTGACACCAGGTAGGAGAAGTCAATGACGAGAGGAAAAAGAACATGATGTCTGCAAAGTCTCTGAAATCTTCTCTTACAGTGTTAGTACACTAGGTTTTGTAGGTGCAGGTGTGAAAATGTAACGTGTTTGTGGAGTGAGATGGGGGACAGAGCCAGTGGCAGACTCAGCTCTGATGCTGTACAGTGCTGTACAGGAGCGTGGCAGTGACAGCTCTGTTGTGGCAGCAGCAGCCCCATTCATCACTGTATCTCAGATTGTGTTTTTCAGAGGTACTTCAGACTTCACTAATAATAATCAAGAGTGTTGGAGCAGGCTTGTCCTCTAATGCCGTTCTTTGGAAGATCAAACTTTGGTTTGTGTGTGGCTGTTTCTTTTTTTTCCCTTTTGTTTTTTTTTTTTTTGAACGACTTTTGAAAATGCTGAAGGTTACACACAGTGGAAATTCAAAGTGAATCCCAGTTTTGCATACAAGCTCAGGAGGGAAGTAGTGTTGGGTTTTTTTTTTTGCTTGGTTGGTTTCAGTGCT